TCATCCTCCACACGAATGTGCTCATTGATCCGCTGCATCAATGACTCCATGGTTGTGGGTTGATGCATCGTGAGTGAATCTCGCAGCCTATGTCCAACTGGGAGACCCCGTTTGTATTGAGTGATCGCCAGATTGGTGGGGCAGTCGAGGATCTCATTGTAAGTTTCCTAGTACTTCGCATTGTATGCCTTCAATGAACACCCAGACTCCATCTTGACGCCCAGGAGATGGTCGACCTCCTTCGGCGTTCGAGTGTTGGTCTTGAATCTGGTGACGAAGGCTTCTGCTAGCTGTTGCCACCCCTCTATACTCCCCTCCGGGAGCCTTTCAAACCACTTTAGACCCAGCTCTCCCAAGCTCGCTAGGAATACGAGACACATCAGAGCGTCATTGCGCCGGTGGCCAGCCATCACCTGCCGATAATGACTCACGTGCATGTACGGATCCATTTTGCCGTCGTACAAAGTGAACTTTGGCTGGTGCAATCCGGCGGGGAGTGGCATACTCTCAATCTCTGGAGATAGCGGTGTGGCTGTAAGTCGCGCCAGCTCTTTGTCCTCCAGCGCAGGGGCCATCACTTTGGGGGCTGGCATCGCCACTTCCTTACTGTAACGAGCTGGAACGCTTAACCTCTAGAATGTCGGCACTCTCCTAGCCTCCCGACGGCGCGCCCTCTCCTCCAATACATCCCTCAAGTCCCTGGAACGTGTGGAGAAAGAGGATCCGGACGTCGGCGTCGGGTGTGAGGGGCGGTAGGTGTTGTCGCGAGAGAGGGACTTGCCCTCCCCTTGGTTGGAACCTCCAACCCCATAGTTCCTGGTGATGGAGAGAGAAGGAGTCTTCCCCTGGCGGCGACTGCTACAACGAGGGGATGGGATGCGCTTACTAAGGTTGCCCTCTCTAGCGACACCCTTCTCTTTAATCTGGCGTTTCAGCAGCTCCATCTCCGCCGCCATCTTGCGAATGACGGCGTCTTGGTCCTTGAGTTTGTGCTCCAAGCGTTGCGCATGGGACTCCCCCCGGCGTCTGCGGCCCCTAGGACTCTGCGAGCGATCAGCACTCCTTCCGCGTTTGTCTCGCGCACTTCGCGAAGGAGTCTCTAGGCCCGCCATGGCTGGAATATTCAGAGGACCTTCTCTCAAGAGGACGTACTCAGGTGTGACGCCATCGACGACGGACAGTGGGGCTTCGCCGTTGTTGGCCATGGAAATGGTCGAAGAAGCTCTGAGAACAAGGGTTGAGTATCAAAAAACTTCCCACAGACGGCGCCAATTGTACGGGAGTGAAATATCCTCTGCTTTCCGTACTCCTTGTACTCTGAGCTTCTCTTGACAGCGTCTACCTGGCAACACAGAAACGATGAGCTGCCTGGCGGTAGTGTGCCGGATAGACCCTCCGACGATCAAGTCAGTTCACTTGAGGAAGAGGAAGAAGACTGAGAGAGAGAGAGAGTGTTCTCTTTTTGGGAAGAAGTTGCATACCTCTAACGTTCGCCCTCCTCCCTATTTCAAGGCTGGCCATGCAGCCTCAAGATCATGCGCGCACTACCTCTGCTGTCCTTCCCAAGACAGGTGGCAGTACTCGCCTCTCACCACCTTACGCGTGTAAAGGCTTAGTCCTCCCAACAGTATACGCAGAACTGCCTAACGGTATTGAGGCATATGTGGAGCAGATGTCCCTTCCTTCGTGCCATTGGCCCAGGTGGCACACCTGACCGCAGTACCACGACCGGCCTATTTCCCAAGAAGAACTATCGCTACAGGCGCTCAACCACGCTATGCCCCACCAGACTACCCCTTGGCAAAGGGGCGGCAGGGGGGACGCCCATGGACCGGGCTGGAGTTGACCGGTTCGTTGTGGCATACCGGTCACGAGGCATGCCGGCCCCCGTCCGTTCTACCTTCATCCGAGGTTATATTGAATCTTCCCATCTCGGCTCACCGGTCAGAGACGCGTCATCCCTCCCTTGTCCACAGTTTAGCCCGAGCTATCCGTAGCTCGGTCTCGCCTCTTAGCTGTGCGCACCGCCGAATATTTGCTAGTCGCAGCTCGGCCAGGCTTGGTTTCCACCCAGTCAGCCGATCCTCGAGACCGAGCAAAACAGACCTGTCCAATCCCTACTCGGCCGTACTAACGGCGCAAATCTCCCCTCTCAGAAGAGGTTGCAGACATTCGTGACTACAATTGTCTCATAAATAGAATTCAGGACTTTTCAGATAAAAATCTTAGAGCAGGACTTGAAGTACTATATGTCTTGTAAACAGAACTTTTTGATAATTAACTCATAAATAAATAAATAAAGGAAGGGGGTTAAAAAGACCAAGTCAATATAAGAAAGTCCATATCTTGACTAGCATGGGTTGGTGCAAATATGTCTATCTAAACAACTGTTCCATTGGGTTCATATCAATCACCCTTTGGCCTGGTGACAATCGGTGCAAGATGGAGGTAGGATATGCTTTGGCGGCGGGATATGCTTTGGCGGCCAAGTATTGAGCCGAGGGGTGGTTGTTGAGGCTTTGAAAATTGCAATTGTTGAGGCACTTCCAAGAGTTGGTGAGACAATTCATATTTCAATCAAAATTTTTAAAAAAATATATTTGTAATTTATTAAAAAAATTAAGATGGTGGTTATGGGGGTGGGTAGGGCTAACAAATGGAGAAAAAAATTTAGGCTTGTATTATTAAATCAATCAAAGTTAGAATAAATTTGGCTTGTAAAATTTATTTATTTAAATAATATAAAATGTGTTATATATTTATATTTATTACAAAATAATATTTAACGAGTCAATCGGATTATTGAATCAATTTTTTTTAATCTTTTTATTATTAATAAGTTGAACTCATGATTAGTAATTTAGTATAAATAAATAAAGTCGGACTTGGGCTTGAATCTTACAAAGTCCTACTCGACTCATTTATTGGCCCATACAACATAGTTTCAGTTCTATTTTTTTGGAAATTTGGGAAGAGAATTTTAGTTTTATAAAGTCATTTCATATTGCAAACTACTCCAGCAAAAATTGATTAACAAAATCAAAGTATCAGCAGATTTGTTTTTCTCCCCATTTTATGTAACAAGAGTAAATGATAAGATATTATTCATCTTTATTATTTCTTTAATAATTACATATTTCCAACACAGAGAACCAATTATGAATATTCACAAAGGTGATACAAAATAGTAAAAAATTTTAAAAACTAGTCTTAAACCCTAAATGAGTAATATAATACATTTTTCATAAGCATAATTGAAATTAATGCAATAATACTAGTTGCACAGAATATACATAGAAAATACGTTGTGTTTCTAAAATTTATATTGCGCAAGACATGGGTCAATAAATATTAACCACACAATATATTTTTTGTGCATATTTTTTTCTACCTATCATTGTTGAAATTAATCAACTAATGAGATCTGAGGAGAGAAGACTGAAGATCACAATATCTCTAGACCTCCCCTTAACAGTGACATATTTCCTTAGCACACCCTCCTTTTGAAACCCAGCCTTCTGAAGCACCCTTTGGGACCCCAAGTTGTCAACATAAACCAAACCTTCAAGTCTCTCCAAATGTGGCCACTCACTAAACACACTTGAAACCACCATTTTCACTGCCCTTGTCACAATTCCTCTGCCCCAATACTCTGATGCCAAAGCATACCCAATCTCACCTCTGCTTGCCCCAATACCTGAGCTCGGCATCACCGAAAGAGACCCAATCGCCCTGTTTTTAAGGCATATAGCTCTCAACCATGGATGTGGAATTGCTATGTTTTCTATGAAGTCTATGGCTTGTTCTCTGGATGTGTAGGTGTTCCAAGTGCAAAACTGACTCACTTTGTTGTCTGTAGCCCACGCCATGATATCATCGGTGTCGGATAGATCGAACGGCCTCAGGGTGATCTCAGAGAATTCATCATGATCATCACCATCTGGTTTGGAGGATACTCTCTCCATGGAAAGAAAAGATGAAAAAGGAGGTCTATGAGGTACCAAGCAATTATTAGTATAATTAGTTTGCATTCATATATAAACAAAATGGGTCCAAGAAACTGCTTGGAACTTTCACCAAGAAAATGATAGGGAACAAGATTTTAAGAAACAAAATGCTAGAGATCTTAAAAATTTTATCAAAAATTCTATCAAATGTTTCACATGAGTATAGGATCCATATAAGACCCACATTGTGTGGGTCTCACAATTATATGAAATTTTTGATAAAATTTTTAAAATCTCTACCATTACTCTTTAAGAAATCAAATTTGATAATGAATTACTTGAAGTGGTGACCAAGGAAGGATTAGCATTGGCAGACGTGTGGTATACTTTGTTGACTCAAGAAGACATATGAAAATGATATGGTACTTGGAAACTTCAAGGAACTCTCTTCAATGGAAATCTTCAATTCAATAAATAAAGGTATTGTACAGTCAAGTCTCGTTTTAATAATTAAGTGTGTTTGGTTTGAGTTTTTTGGATTAAATTTTTTAAAAATTGATTTTTTTAATTTTCGTATTTTTTTTATTTTTAGTGAATATTTTTTAAATTTTAAACATTTTTTTTACTTTTTTAAATGCACCTTACTTAGATGTATCTAAAAAGTAAAAAAATTATGAAAAAATATTTTAAAAAATTAATAAATACATAAAAATACAAAAAATATACCGAATTCTTGTATTTTTTTGTATTTTTGGTATTTAGTGAATTTTTAAAAGATTTTTTTCATTTTTTTTTTACTTTGTAGGTGTATTTATGTTAGGTGTGTCTAAAAAGTAAAAAAATTGCTTAAAATATTAAAAAAATTCAATAAAAACAAAAAAAATACGAAAAATATGAAAGTAGAATTTTCTGAAAAGTGTTTTTTAAAAAGTGAAAACAAGTAAGGTGAATGGTAGTTTAGATCCTACTCACAAAACTTTGAACTCATAAATCTTATGTTAATTTTATATGACCAATCTATCCTTACAAATTAAAAAACACAAAAATATTTGGTTCTTCACACACACACACACTCTCTCTCTCTCACGTCCAAGGATGGATCTAGGGGGGCGGCCGCACCCCAAAAATTTGAAAAATATCATATATTATACTAGAAATTTTAAAGTAATTTTAAATTATAGGAGTTCGCACCCCCAAATTTTTTTTAGATAATTTCAAAATTATATAGAGTAGCCCCCAATTTTTTAAACTATTTGGAATTTTTTTTTTGAATTAGTTAACATATACAATAATCTATTTTAAATTTCATGTATATGTATTTTTTAAATTAGGTCAAGATGAAAGCAAAATTTTAAAAACTTTAGTGGGTCAAAGTGTAAAATATGAAACTTTTACATATATATATATAAGCTATGGGGCTTGCTAAAGAAGCTTTAAACAAAGCACTAAGATTAAAAAAAAAAAAAAAAAAAAAATTGATCTGATCTGAGAGACTTGCTATGATTCTACGAAAGTGACGAGGGATACAGAGAAGCTTTGTTGTCGGTGGTCCGGTGGAGGCTTCGTGGGAGTTGTCGGCGTGGATGGTGAAACTGTGGATATCCCTTCAGACGAAATTATCTGATATTCACAAATGAAGAGTAAGGAATTGCACTGTTGTTTGACAAAAAAATAAGTTATGAATCTGAAAGGATATCAGATAAAATAATATGTGGGGGCATAAGTTATCTGATATTCACAAACGAAGAGTTATGAATCTGGTAAGTTATCTAATATATGATATCTCTTCAGCTTCAATGTGATGTGATTATTCTGGTTTTAGATTGAATATTATTAATCTATGATTGATTGTAATTTTAGACTGAATAATGTGGTTATTTTGCTTTTAATTTGTTATTGGTGCGATGAAAATCTGATAATTGAAATAGGTACAATTATTAACTAAATGTTGTGATTTTTTTTTTTAATACTATGATTTGGTGTCTACAACGAAGATACTTATTCAAAAATTTATAGAAGATGGATGGGCTCCATTGTTAGAGAAAATTAAATTATTTTTTAATGATCATGGTATACAGATTCCTGATATGAGTTATCCTTATAAGGGAGGCCAAGGTCGGTCTCGTTTTGAAAGAGATCAGCTCACCGCGGAATATCATTTTCGAGTTGATATTTTTATGGTTACAGTTGATTCTCAGTTAGCTCTGCTTTAGATCCTAGGGATGGTTATAGATCATTCAAAATTTAGGATATTTGCAAACTTGCAAATAAATTTTATACCATGGATTTCTCCGAGCAAGAAAAATTGCATTTGAAGTATCAGTTGGAAAACTATAAGCTTGATATTTCCATACTTCCCCAGTTTTAGAAGCTGTCAACCATTTCTGAGTTGTGTCAAATGTTGGCAAAAACAAAAAAGTCGACAAGTTATCCTCTTATTGATAAATTGATTCGTCTTGTGTTGACTTTACTTGTTTCAACTGCTACATCAGAATGTGCATTTCAACTATGAAACTCGTTAAGTCTAAATTGTGCAATAGGATGGAAGATGGTTACTTGATTACGTACATTGAAAAATACATTGCTCGAGGGTTTGATGTAGACTCTATCATTCATACTTTTGATATTATGAAAGAGCATTGAGCTCAATTGAAGATGCTTAATTCTAGTAAATAAATGCATGTAGAAATAGTTACTACTTTTGTTAAGTGAATATAGGCAAAAAAACATTCTCAATTACATGATCATCTTTTGGTACTCAACTATGCTGACAAGGAATATATAGCTCAATATTTTATGTTAGTAGAAATTGGTATTGAACTTCAAATTTTATTAGTTAAAGGTTAAACGTACTTTGGCCCCCCCAAAGTCATAATCCTGGATCTGTCCCTGCTCACGTCCTCTCCAGCCACCATCACTGAACTATCAGCGGCGACCCCAACGCTAAACCCCATCAGTGATTTCCTTCTTCCAACAGCGACCTCCCTCAGCCACCCCTCTCCGCCTTTTCTTCCCTCTTTTGCACTTCATCCCTTGTTACATCGCGACTATGTCATCGCCCATCGCTTCTTGCTGTCACAGTCGCCTCTGTTCATTGTCGTCGTCATTGCCTATCATTGTTGCCACCTCCATTGTCGCCTCTCATTGTCTCCATCATTGCCTCTCACCATTATGAGCCAGTCATATTCATCTCGAACTAGATCTAGAACTAAATTAGGAGATTTCCAGATTTGGAAAGTGTAAAAGGAGGAAGAGAAGGTAAATGTAAGAGAGAGAGAGAGAGAGAGTAGATTGATAATATTCTCAATTTTAATCAAGAAAAAAATTGAGAAATTTCTCAAAATTGATAATATTCTCAGTTAATATTAGAAAAAAAAATTGAGAAATTTCTTAGTTGTGATAATTATAAACTGAAATCATTCTTAATTTAGAAATTGATAACATTCTCAATTTATAATATTCTCAATTTTAATCATGAAAAAAAATGAGAAATTTCTCAAAATTGATAATATTCTCAGTTAATACTAGAAAAAAAAATTGAGAAATTTCTTAGTTTTGATAATTATAAACTGAAATCATTCTTAATTTAGAAATTGATAACATTCTCAATTTATAATATTCTCAATTTAATCATGAAAAAAAAATGAGAAATTTCTCAAAATTGATAATATTCTCAGTTAATACTAGAAAAAAATTTGAGAAATTTCTTAGTTTTGATAATTATAAACTGAAATCATTCTCTATTTTGAAATTGAGAACATTTTCAATTGTGGGGTTGACCCAGTTTTCGACGATGGACGACAGACGATGAACGAAAACATAAAACAAGAACCTACACGATTTCGATAGGGCGGCGCTATCATGGCTGTTAGAGGAGGCATAACAAAGCTTTCTTCTAGATTGCAAAGATCAAAAGAAGAGGTTGCAGACATTCGTGACAACAATTGTCTCATAAATAGAATTTAGGACTTTTCGAATAAAAATCTTAGAGCAGGACTTGAAGTACTATATGTCCTGTAAACAGAACTTTTTAATAATTAACTCATAAATAAATAAATAAATGAGGGGGGTTAAAAAGACCAAGTCAATATAAGAAAGTCCATATCTTGACTAGCATGGGTTGGTGCAAATATGTCTATCTAGACAACTGTTCCATTGGGTTCATATCAATCACTCTTTAGCCTGGTGACAATCGGTGCAAGACGGAGGTGGGATATGCTTTGGCGGCCAAGTATTGAGCCGAGGGATGGTTGTTGAGGCTTTGAAAATTGCAATTGCTGAGGCACTTCCAAGAGTTGGTGAGGCCAAGATTTTAAAAACCGAACTGGACTGGCTAGTTCGCCTGGTTGAACCGTCGATCGGTCGGGGTTCCGATCCGGATATACCCACTAAACCGTTCAAAGTGAAAAACCAGCTTATTTTGAGAGAACCGGGAAAATTAGCGGTTGAACCACCAAACTGGTCGACCCGGTGACGGTTCACAAGGTCAATAAAATCAATTTTTTGTTTTTTTTGGTTTTTTTTTATTCTTTCTTATTATATATATATATATATATATATATATATAATGTAAGAATATAAGAAAATTTTAATTTGAAACTCTTTTTCAAGGGTCTCCTCTTGTGAGAAATCCCAGTAAGAGCTTCATGAAATTATTGTGAAAGTTTTCACCTATTTATAAGAAAAAACTCTTTCAAAAAAACTCAAGAAATCCATATGGGATTCAATCAAATGTATTGGAGGAAATATTGAAATTTTGATATCCCTCCAAAATTTTTGCTTTCCTTTCAATCAAATTATTTGAATTAAAATCATATGGAGGGAATATTAAATATTTTAATAATATTTTAAAATATATTTTTATATTTTTTAGTAAAAAAAGTATTAGGAGAAATATTTAAGATTATTTAATTTTTTAATTTATAATTTTATTACTTATATTTTTATTTAATTATAATTTTAATATATTTATGATATCACAGTTTGATTCTAGTTCAACCTGACAGTTAAACCAGTGACCTGTCCACCCGATCTTTTTCCAGTTCACTCACCGGTCTGATTTTTAAAACATTGGGTGAGGCTTCAGGCTTTGGTTGAGGCTGAGAACAAGGCTTCTCGAAGAGTGTTGGAGAAAGTTTTTCGGATCTTCCTATCTATTTTTAATTTTTTTTTTTGTTTTTAATGGTTTTTTTTTTTAAACTTTGTCAAATTTTTTAAATTTTCAAAAAAAAAAATCAAAAATAAGTAAAAAAAGGCCCACTATTTTTGACTTATTTTTTGTCTTTTCTAGAATTTTTTTCATTTTTTTTTTTTAAAAAAAATCGGTTCGTCTCGTCCGGTACAATCAGAAGCCTAAAGATTTTTGTTTAAAATAGACAATCGTATAATCTTTA